TCTATATTGACTTTACATATTAACTTGAAAAGTGAAGTTTCCATAATGTTGAGTCAATTTAGAAATACAGAATATTCTTCTCGTTGGTTTTCTTTTTGTAAATTTTTATAAATTCTCCGTTTGACTCCTTTCTGTTGTTAATTTCCAGGTATTTATTCTTAATTACAGAGGTTTTCTTCAACAAAGCAGTATTTTAAATTTTTCTTATGAAATTAGTATTAGTTACATATAACTGGGAACAGTGGAGGAAAAGTATATAAAACTACCACTCTATTACAAGCATTTATTATTTTGGAATATTTCCAAAATAGACGCAGTATGATCGACAAACAAAATTTTTAACCACACTGCAATCCTTTAATTCAGAAATGTAATAGACTGCCCATGAAACATACATGCAATTTGGTTATCAATATATTTGTATTTGCTAAAAATAAATCCACCAAACTTAAATTAAGTATTCATAAAAATGTTTTGTCTCTCTGCCTCTCTAGTTTCAAAGTAATAATGCTCAGTATAAAAGCCTTTTTTAAAAGATTTTATTTATTTTATTTGACTGACAGAGATCACAAGTAGGCAGAGAGGCAGGCAGAGAGGGGGGGGGGAAGCAGGCTCCCTGCTGAGCAGAGAGCCCAATGCGGGACCCATCCCAGGACCCCGGGATCATGACCTGAGCCGAAGGCAGAGGCTTTAACCCACTGAGCCAGCCGGGCGCCCTCAGTATAAAAGTCTAAAGACTGATATGTACAACCTAGAAAAATAAAGTTCTCTGTATCTGACCCTTTGCCCTGCCACTGAGATCACTAGCTACTGTCAATTTGGTATTTTTTTCTAGATAGTTTTTGGCACCATCATAGAACTATTTTTCTTCCCCAATTTGCAGTTATTTCCCGTTTTCAACATTTTATTCTCTGTCATTACAATTTTTTTAATAGCTACATGGTATTTTCCACAGTATTTTCTTGGATAGATGTTCAGATTTTACTTAACTGTTTACTTGTTGGCTGCTTGGAGTTCGTTGTTTTGGCCACTCACAATTTTGCAATAAATACTTTTACGTAAGTAATGGCCCCCTTGTTTGAGTATTTCTGAAGACCGATTCCTAGAAGTACAGTTTCTTGGTCAAAAGATACGCACATTTACATTTTTAACTGCCCTTCAAAAATGGTGGCACTTAAAAGCCAAGTTATGGATGTCTACATCATAATCCTTGGCATTTTCAAGACCTGTGAAATTTAAGCAAGGCTCCAATTAGTAACTTAAGGGAGTCATTTCTGTAACAAGTCACTCCTTTGAGGGTAAAAACAATGAAGTTTAGCACTTCTATCTATGCTGATCATGTGCTTTAAGGAAAAACATCAAACCACCCTGATTGCAGTGGTGTTTTTTGTTACAAGTACTCATGGTGAATTTGCTTCTGACAAGGATTAGATGGGGTTTTCATGTCATTCCTTATGTTATCCTTTAAATTATGTGAAAGAACAAAGGAATCTGGAAGGTGCCTAATGCTATAAAATTGGGAGACAGACTATACTTTCTGTGGTGAATAAAGTGTGTACATTTTTAACAGGAATCACCTAAGCCTTTTCTTGAATTAGTGCTTGCATGACAACGTCCCAGTATAATAAGCCGATGCTCCATCAGTAATGTAGGGATATTGTGTTTCCTTTCAGACCTCAGTATTACTGCCTTTCACAACTGGAATACAGACTCCCAAGAGTATTATGAGAACACTGAATTCCATGTTAACTCACCAAATACTTGATAACTAAAAGAAGCTAAAGCCTGTGATAAACTTGGGCCTCAATAATACCATTACTTCTCTATGAGTGATCTTTCCCCTGGATCTGTCATTGGTACAGTTCGCTTTGTCATCTCAGTCCTGTCAAGTGCACTGTATTTCCTATTGCAATTTGATTTATAGTTCAAGCAAATAAAATGTTATTAGTCCCTTTTCAGAAACATCTGAATAGTTTGTAAGAAGAACTTTGTCAAGGCTTTATTGCTAATCAGCAGATATTTTAATGTCTTATATCCTCACTTGCTTAATCTAATCTTTGCATGTTACTCTTTTTCAAATCTTGGCTTGATACTAAAACTTCTCACAGTATTTGAAGTAATGAACTGAACCAACGTACCATCAACCAGGGGCTTTACAAAACCCAGGTTGGTTTGAGTCAAGATTTCATTTCTTAGCTTTCTGTTGTCTTGGGCATTTTTAAACTCCTCTGAGAGTCCTTACCTAAATTGGGGTAATAATGGTACCTACCTCATGGGGTTATGAGGATTAAATAAGTTATTGGCACATAGATGTGAAAATTTTTATAACTTATTTAACGTTATCTGTAAAATGGAGAGAATGGCTGCTCTGGCAAAGGAAATGTAAACACATAATAGTGTTTAAGTTTTGCTTCTTTCCAATCATCAAATAAGAAATCACTTTCACAGTAATAGTTGAGTAGAAATCAACATAAATACTTTATTAATCTTGGATTGAAATCATTAAGTTTGCTTAAAAGTTAAATATATTAAGATAAATATTACACTGAAAAACTGGAAATAAGCACTTTAGTATTGATATGGTAGAACTTACCAAAAGAATTTGTATTTTTTTTTTAAACATTTTATTTATTTATTTGACAGACAAAGATCACAAGTAGGCAGAGAGGCAGGCAGAGAGAGAGGGGGAGGCAGGCTCCCTGCTGAGCAGAGAGCCCGATGTGGGGCTCGATCCCAGGACCCTGAGATCATGACCTGAGCCAAAGGCAGAGTCTTAACCCACTGAGCCACCCAGGTGCCCCAGAATTTGTATTTTTTAACTATTAAAATTTTCATGTCCAAGTTTAATCTCTGAATTCAGAGCTTTGCAGTTATACTACAAATATAAGATGGAGAATTAAAACAAATTATCATCATTCAGTCACAAATCAGTTCTGTTTGAAACAGCCTGAAAAGGAACCTGAAATTATGCAGCAATATTGTCTTCATTAGGGCGCCTGGGTGGCTCAGTGGGTTAAGGCCTCTGCCTTTGGCTCGGGTCGTGATCTCAGGGTCCTGGGATCGAGCCCCGCATCTGGCTCTCTGCTCAGCGGGGAACCTGCTTCCCTTCCTCTCTCCACCTGCCTCTCTGCCTACTTGTGATTTCTCTGTCAAACAAATAAAATCTTAAAAAAAAAAAAATTGTCTTCATTAGAGCAGCCCTACATTGTTTAAGGGAGACAGACTTGGAGATGTCCTAGAATCTTAAATACCATTAAGAGTTTGACAAATGGGGTGCCTGGGTGGCTCAGTCATTAACCATCTGCCTTTGGCTCAGGTCATGATCCCAGGGTCCTGAGATGGAGCCCCACATTGGGCTCCCTGCTCGGCAGGAAGCCCGCTTCTCCCTCTTCCACTCCCCTTGTGTTCCCTCTCTCGCTGTGTCTCCCTCTGTCAAATGAATAAATAAAGCCTTAAAAAAAAGTTTGGCAAAATTTACCCCATGCTTACTAGACTTAATTTAGGACTGATAGAAAGATGGCTTTTATCATTAGGAATGGATTGGAAAATCTTTATCGATGAGTTTTCTTTTGCTTTAAATAACTTTTCTAACCTCCCACCTCTAACAAGGTGGGAGGCTGGATAGTCAATCAAAGGGCAAAATCTACAGGTACTATGTCTAATACACAGTCAAATGCGAAATTAGTCTTTTTCCCAAGGCACTCAGCCATTTAGCTGTCAGCACTACTGAATAAGAGATTTAGGTTTTATAGTAATCAAATGTGGAAAGAAAAATCTGGTTACTAGATGTGTGCCAAAAATACTTCCCCTTCTTGACAGTATGGCTATTATGCTTCTAATTTTTCCAGCTTCTAACTACAACATGAGCAAACTAAAAGAACAAATGCTGACTCCATGATAAAAATACTTGAAACCTGCCACCTTTACAACTGCACACAATCTGTCATCACACTAAACTCTCAACATGTTAAAAACATTTTCAAACTTAAATAAAATTAATCTTCCTGTGATGCCAGTTACCCCTAGAAAAATATGCTTGTTTGAATAGGCATTCATTATATATTTCAAGAAAAAGGATTATCATGGTTGGAAATATATTAAAAGATACATGTAGTTTATCAAAGATAATATTAAAACTAGAAAAAAATTATTAAAACTAGAAAAAAAGTCTATAAGGTTTAAAAAGTTTCCTACTGAGGTTGCAGAATTTAAATTCCACATATTCTCAAACCTTTGGGCTATATGCATCCTTATAATTTGTGCACTTCTCTGGTACTCTATACTTAAATAGAATTTATCAGAAAAAATGACAACAGGAATACTTGGAATAGCCAAGGCCTTCTAATGACTTATTAGGGAGCTGTGATTTTTCTGACAAGTCAAATAACTTATGACTAGAAATAAAGATATGGGTAACAGGAAAAAAAGTATTTATCTTCTTTTTTAAAAAATTTAATTTGGGGGGAAAAATCTAAATTCTTTTATCTCTTTCTCTCTTTTTGTAGTTCAAGTATGCTTACAAGACTGACGGCATTACGGTGGTATAAATATGAAGGACTACTGAAGAATCTGAATGAAGTACTGTACTATTTGGCTTTATTTCAGACATTAAAGACTTCTCATGTTGGAAAAAAAGCTCAAGAATAGAAATGTAAGAACATGCTTTATGCAGTGGCATTAGGATTATAAGTCAGATGCCATATCAAAATTGATACAGGCTAAATTCTTAGGAAAATCCTATCTATAGCAACTTTGATGGCTGAAAAATGTTTTATTGTATTTACATTTTCAATTAGTACTACTAATAAACTGTAGATTTTTATATGCACATTTTTGATACGGCTGACTTGGGGAAAGTTATGGTTAATAAAAAGCTGATTTTTTTAAAGAAAAGTTTGAATTTTTTTTTCTTTGCTTAGTATTCAAACACATTAAAGTGAAGTAATTCCCTTTGCTATTTCTCCCTTTTTTTATGCACAGAAAAGAAGCACACATTGTCATGCCTCAAACTACTTTTTATTTGCAACTACATGATTTCACGCAATTCTTCTAAACAATGACATAAAATAGATTTCCTGTGTATAAATAACTTACATACTCTCCATAAAGTAAATGCTCAAAGGTGCTAGAACAGATCGTCTGCTGCTACAGTGTTCTCGTATCCAACAGAGTTGATGCACAATATATAAATACTCAAGTCCAATATTAAAAACTCAGGCACTTGACTAATAAAGTTTCTCAAACTATATCAATATATCTAAAGTGCATATATATTTTTTAAGAAAGATTATTATCAATAACTTTTCTATAAAAATAAGTTTGACGGTTTGGCCCATCTAACTTTACTACTATGAGTATGAACTTTTAACTTTTAATGTGGTCAGCCTTATTCTACCTTCTCTCAACACTGACACCAAGAGAATCAAAAGCAGCTAGTGAGGTGCTAACATGTGAGGATTAATCCAGTGATTCCGGTCACAATGCATTCCAGGAGGAGGTACCCATGTTACTGGAATTGGGCGATACGGTTTATTCTTTCTTCCCTGATTTGGATAACCAAATGGAATAGGAGGAGGATAGTGATTCTGATGACCATTCCCTCGGTACATTCCTGGCTTTTTTCTGGGCAAAGGGTGCCACAATGGAAGAGGTGGGAACATCAATTCTGAAATCTGCATGAAAGAGAAAACAGTTAAGTTATTAATTCAAAGGAAAAATTAGTCACATTATATATAAAAACAAGGTGAATTTCCAGATTACCATTAAAGAAAAACAAAATCACTCAGCCATATCCTTAAGAGTAGATCTAAGTGACATTCCTATGGTTAGATCTAAGTATATTAAAAACTTCGTATGTAGTAAGTGACCGATTAGTTTTCTGAATGAATGAAAATGAATAAACTCAAAACAACCAGAAAAGATCAAAACAGAAATGAATGGAAGCTTGAAAGGACACATCATGCTTTCTTTTTTTTTTTACTATTATTTTTTTAGGACACATGTTTTAGACCAGTAGTTTCCACAGCTGGCTGGTTAATAAGGAGACACCTAAAAGGCTTTTAAAACACAGAATATTCATGCCCTAGCCCTGGTCTACTGAACAGTAAGAATAACAAAAATTTTAAAAACAGAGGCCAAGTATTCTGACCACAGTGTAGATGGTGATTCTGATGTAGCCAGTTTGTGTTTGGGAACAACAGTCTTAGATTATCCCCTAAGTCTCATGGGACATAAGTTCACATTATTCAAAAAGTTATCAGCAGTTTTGGACACCTTGCTCAGAATGCTATACCATGTGACTATGAGTTTCTGAATTCTCTGATTTCTAATCTGCTCTTTTTAGTACAGGTATTTTAAAATTTGTATTTTATATAAAACTGTATTCATATCATAGAAAATACAAAAGGTATATAAAAGTATATACAGTAAAAAGTCCCCTTTATCTGATTACCAGCTACCCAATTACCCTCTCAGGGGCAACTGACACTAATTATTATTTTTTTGTGTGTATACCCTTAGAAATATTTCATGCGTATACTTGGGTGTACATCTATGCACACATTTTAAAAAACATGCACATACAATTTTGTTTACTCCTTTTTGCCCTTGATAAATATATCTTGGAGATATTCATATTAATACATAAGGCCCTTTTTCATTATTCTACAGCCAGATGTAATGCAAGGACTATGCCGTAATTAAATTAACTAGTGTCCTACTAATGGAACATTTAGGCGGTTTTCAGTGTTTTACTATTAAAAAACAATGCACAATAAAACAACACTTTAATGAATAACCTTAGTATAGTTAATCCTTGATTATATAAAATAATGAAAAAAATAAGGAAAAATTTAGATTCCAACTAATAATTGACCTATACTACAAACAGGTAGCAAAGTGAAATGGTTTTCATTTCTTTTTATACTAGGATGCTGAAAAGGTTTTAAAACTGTCAGAAAGAAGGCATGCCTGCCTGGCTCAGTGAGAGGAGTATGCGACTTTTAATCTCGGGGTTGTGAGTTCAAGCCCCACTTTGGGTGTACAGATTACTTAAAAATAAAATCTTTATTAAAACACAACACCATCAAATCTATCAGAAGACAAAATTCTGAAGCCTAAAATACCCTTTCCAGTTAATCTCATACCCCACAATCAGCCACTGTTCTGATTTCTATCACCAGACTGAGTTTTCCCTGTTTGTTAACTTCACATAAATATAATCATTTAGCATGTGTTCATTTGTGTATGGCAAAATTCTTTGCCCAATCAAATGTTTTTGAGGTCTTTCCATAGTGTGTCTATTCTTAGTTCATCCTGTCTTACTGCTAGTATTCTACTGTGTGAAAACCTCAAAATTTTTCTCCCATTTACCTGTTAATGGACATTTTGGTTGTTTTCCATTTTATTATTATGCAAAAAGCTGCTATAAACATTCTAATACATGACTTTGGAAATACTTATTTTCATTTCTCTTGTTAAATACTTAAGGGTGTAATTGTTGGGTAATAGGGTAGGTGCATTTGTAATAATTGCCAGAGTTTTCCAAAGTGGCTGTACCATTTTACATTCCCACCAACAGTTTATGAATCCAGCTACTTCACATCCTTGCCAACAGTCGGTGGTGTCAGACTTTAATTTTAGCCATTCTGGAAGAAGTAGTGTTTCACTATGGTTTTAATTTGCATTTCCCAGATGACAAAAAAAGGCTAAGCACCTTTTCATGTGTTTACTGGACATTTATAGAACTTTTGTACAGTGTTTATTCACATCTTCTGCCCAGTTATTTTTAATTGGGTTGTTTGTCTTCTATTATTGATTTATAGGAATGATTTATAAAGTATATTCCAGAAACAAGTTCTTTGATGTATGTATTGAGAATATTTTGTTCCAGTCTATGTTTTGCCCATTCATTTTCTTAATGGTTTGTTTTGATGAGCAAAGATTTTAAATTTTGATGAAGTCAAATTTATCAAGTTCTTTTCTTGTGTTTTTTGTATCCCCTGGAAGAAATCTTAGTTTATCTCAAGTAATAAAGCTATCTCTCAATATTTTCTGAAAGTGTCAGAGTTAGCTTTTATGTTTAGGTCTATGACCCATCTCAAATTAAATTTTTTGTGTATGCTGTCAAGTAGCAGTTAGGTTTGATTCTTTTCCTGTATAGAGTATCCAATTGTATTAGTACCAATTCTTGAAGACTTTCCCTATTGAACTGCTTTGAGACTTTCCTTTAAAAAAAAAAAAAAAAAAAAGACTACATATGTAGGTCTGTTTCTGCGCTATTTTGTTCCATTAATATATTTGTGTCTTTAAATCTTTACTACACTGGGGGTGCCTGGGTGGCTCATTTGTTAAGACTCTGCTCTCCAGAGATCTGGGATCAAGCCCTGCATTGGGCTTCTTGCTCAGCAGGAAGCCTGCTTCTCCTGCTCCCACTCCCCCTGCTTGCCCTCTCTCGCTTTGTCTCTCTGTCAAATAAATAAATAAAATCGTAAATCTTTACCACACTGTCTTGATAGACATAATAGCTTTATATAAGTATAAGGCCTCTAACTTGATTCTCCTTTTTATAAATTTTAGAATCAATTTGTCACTTTCTAGAAAAACCTTGTTGGGATTTTGATTGATATGTAGTTGAATCTATAGATCAATTTGGGGAAAAATGACAAACTTCACTTCTTAATTAGTAATCTCTGGGGATACCTTTGAAAAAACAGACTCCTAAGAGAACAAAGATCACAAGCTAGGAACTTTGTATCCTTACTTTGATAAGCCCCTTTTTAAGCCTTTTAGTAATGCTAGGTTCAAGATGAAAACATGGATAGGAAGAAAACATTAAAGTGGGCCACTTGCACTAGCATTCTACACGATGGCTTTTTTTTTTTTTTTTAAGATTTTATTTATTTAGTTGACAGAGAGAGATCACAAGCAGGCAGAGAGAGAGGAGGAAGCAGGCTCCCTGCTAAGCAGAGAGCCTGATGCGGGGCTCGATCCCAGGACCCTGAGATCATGACCTGAGCTGAAGGCAGAGGCTTAACCCACTGAGCCACCCAGGCGCCCCTACACGATGGCTTTTAACAGCCATGCTTTTCTGTCAAAAAATGTTTTGTTAGTGAATATAATGTCAAGGAAAAATGTTTTATTTTAAAAGCACACAAAAGACATTTCAATTTCCATGCCTTTGTTATAATTTTGTCCTAACAGTTTCTCAACATGGGGGGAAATAAATACAATTTAAAAGGAAAATCTAAAAATTAAAGGTCAATTTACTTGTAAAATATCAGCAGCAATCAATTCAGTTTGAGATTTACCTTCTTGCTTTGTTGAGTAACAATAAAATTCTGAGATAAAATTGCAACATGTGAACGAATTACAGGCAATTTAACAACAGTAATTTAGAGTTTATAACACATCATGCAGAGAGAAAAAAAGCCCAAAATTTATGACAAAAGTCTTAAAAATGATCCCTGAAATACAAATATACAAAGTTTACTTATCTATATAGAGACTCTCTTAGGAAGAATACAAAAATATCTGGTAATGAGTACGTCCATGGAAATGTACAGGACAGGACTAGTGGTTGGGGAGTGGTGAGGGAGGATTTGGTTACTATTATGCTCTTTTACACTGTTTGAAGTTGTTTACAGCAAGTGCTTGCTATCTTACAATATGCATATATATACACATATATTCCTAAAAATGATAATCCTCAGACTAATCTTCCTCATAAGCCTAAAAAGATAATACAACAAATGAAAAAAAGAGAGAAATGAAAAGTTAAGTTATACTGAAAACATGTTCATTATATAAATGTATGGTGAATATAAAGATTTAGTTTCTCATACTCAAAACTCTCATTTTTTACTCATTAAGGTTTAAATTATTATTATTATTAAGTTTTTATTTATATTTTTGACAGAGAGAGACACAGCGAGAGAGGGAACAGAAGCAGGGGGAGTAGAAGAAGGAGAAGCAGGCTTCCCACCGAGCAGGGAGCCCAGTGCAGGCCGATCCCAGGGATCATGACCTGAGTTAAAGGCAGACGCTTAACTGAGCCACCCAGGCGCCCCAAGGTTTAAATTATTATAGCCCAAATCCAACCCTACCTTGAACCTGTTATGTTTCAGTATGTCTAAATAAGGCCAAATTAATAAAAAGAGATATATTTTAAAATATACTCAAAATTAGAAAAAAGTACATGCACGGAATAAGGCTCAACTCAAAAGATTTCTTTCAGGGGCGCCTGGGTGGCTCAGTGGGTTAAAGCCTCTGCTTTCGGCTCAGGTCATGATCCCAGAGTCCTGGGATTGAGCCCCGCATCGCAGGGAGCCTGCTTCCCCACCCTCTCTCTGCCTGCCTCTCTGCCTACTTGTGATCTCTCTCTGTCAAATAAATAAATAAAATCTTAAAAAAAAAAAAAAAAAGATTTCTTTCATTTTTTTGACTTATCTTCTCTGCCAAAGAGGAATATTGTATTAAGAATTTTTAAAAGTATATTAAATATTCTTTGGTATGTGGGGTATAGATAATAAATAAGTGGACAAATTTGTAAGCATGGTTGCTATCTAACTCATCAACTGTTGAAGTAAAGGAGATAATGTTTTAACTTGAGTGAAAAATTAACTCATATATAATTCAGTGAAGCTTCTTTTTAATCATGGAGAAAAGAAAGTTAACTCCAATGGTATGAATTAATAGTGTCGAAGACTACAAAAATTGAATACCTACTTTTTTTTTTTAATGTGAATCTTTTTTTTTTTTTTTAAGATTTTATTAATTTGACAGAGACCACAAGTAGGCAGAGAGGCAGGCCTCTCTGCTAAGCAGGGAGCCTGATGTGGGACTTGATCCCAGGACCCTGAAATTAAGACCTGAGCCAAAGGCAGAGGCTTAAACCCACTGAGCCACCCAGGAGCCCCTCAATACCTACTTTTTAATACAATAAAGATTTAAAAATATCAGGAATGTATCATCATCATGACTTTTTCTAGTCTTTCCCATACTTTTTAAAATATATTTATTATAAATAAATAAAATGTATTTATCCTACTTAACTGAGTAGTAAAAGCAGACCCTTGATAAAGTGACTCAGGATGCCCATTTACATCTCTAAAGAACAGCTTCCTTTTATATGGAAGAGAATTGGCATTCAAAATCTCAAATCAGAAATCCTGGGCAACATGAGCAGGACTACCTAGAATGACCTGGCAAGCCCTGCTCACAACTTTTAATAGAAAGCCATTCCATGGTTACCTGGTACACAGGGCTTGGGGTCGTAGTCATGGAACTGGGTTTCACTTCTACTTCCTTACTTGTTTCTTCATCTGAAGAAGAGGATCCTGAATGATAATCAGAGGTAACCTTATCAAGGGCCCTGGTAACTTTCTTGGAGATTTCATCCTTGTTCTCATCCTCATTTTCAAAGCTGGCAACAATGAATGCATTGTTTTTCTCTCCATACCTAAGGATTAAAAAAACAAACAAACTCATAAACCTTTAAGTACCATCAACAAAAGCAAGAAATTGTCCATAAAAACAAACAGGCTTGGACATGCCATTGGTCCAAAGCAAAGAAGGAACCCTCCCAGAACATAACCCGACATATATAGTATCTTAACACAAATCCATGCCAATAGGCAGACCACGACTTTCTACACCTGCCTTATTTAAGTACAAATAAAAATGATTCCATTCTCTTTCCCAATTTTCTTTCCTACTTTCCTATTTTAACAAAAATAGTTGTTTAAAACACCAAAGAGAAATTCAGTTTACATTTTTTATGTATCATTAAACTGATTGTACAGTAAAAATTTCTCATGTGTTTTTAACTAACCACTGTAATGTAGATGCTAGTAATTCAAGTCATAAATCAACGAGTCATTTCCTTTGACCTCCATGATTAAATAAAAAAGGGACCTGGTTGCCTGTATCCACACTGACAAAAATGAGAACTGAGGCAACTGAAAAACAAGTGTTGAAAACAAAGGGGTTTTACTTGAATTATATTGCTTATCTCATGCTAGGAAAACTGCCCACTTCTCATCTTGATTTTTGTTTTTAAAAAGTAAAATGAGCTTTTTAATCGTGCCAAAATACTTTTAGAGACTTGAGCTAGAAAAATAATTGTTAGAATATGTAACTTTGGCTGTTGGCTACTAAAAGAAAAAGGAAAATAAATTATGCAATGAGGGAAGATAGCATAATGAATAGTAAAACCAGTAGTACTTTTTTTTTCTCTGAGAGAGAGAAAGAGAGAGCATGCAAGCACGTGTGCAAAAGAGCACATGGGGCAAATGGGGAAGGGGGGTAGGGGAGGCAGGGGAGAAGGAAAGAGAGAATCTTAAATAGGCTCCATGCTCAGCGTACAGCCCAGTGCAGGCTTGACCTCATGACGCATAGATCACGACCTGAGCTGAAATCAAGAGCTGGACACTTAACCAACTGAGTCACTCAGGTGCCCCATAAAACTAGTTTTCATTTGGAGAATAGGAGAAACCCACAAATCTATTTGGATAGACTGCACAACATAAACACCATGAAATAATTTCTAGTTAGGACAAAAGAAATGAATTGATTTTTTAAGATTTTTAATTTTATTTATTTATTTTTTTGACAGAGAGAGAAGCAGCAGGAGAGGGAACACAAGCAAGGGAGTAGGAGAGGGAGAAGCAGGCTTCCTGCTGAGCAGAGAGCCTGATGTGGGGCTCAATCCCAGGACTCTGGGATCATGAACCAAGCTGAAGGCAGACACTTAATGACTGAGCCACCCAGGCACCCCAAGAAATGAACTGTTAACTAGTTCTTACGCAATATGTAATTGAAGTTAGAGAACATGATTTTAAGCTTAAAAAAACCACCAAAACAACCTTAAAAGAAAAGCAGAGAAAAGAGACATAATAACTATGTCAATTAATTTAATTTTGAAGTAAGTCTTGTCTCAAATTATTTCTGTATCAGGGTATGTATAATAAAGTAAAAGGCCAAACTGTAATAAAGCCTTTAAAAGTTTTATGGAAATCATGTAGCCTCACAGGTGAGTTCTACTTCTTTATATAGTTGTGCTGTCTTCCACTCTCACACAGGCTGAATGGGGCCATAAATGCTACCTAAATACGGGACATAACTCCCTTTTCTATTCTTTTTCAGTTTATCTCACAAAAGGAATTGCTACAGACGGTAGAAAGAACACTGAACATCTTTCTGGTTCTGGCTCTCCCACTAACTAGCTCTGTGACAAGGGGCAAGTCATTTAATGTCTCTAGGCCACAGTTTCCTATCTGCTAGGCAAGAGAGCTGGAACTGGCTGGATATTGGTTTGTCTTCAGCTAGCGATTCTTCCTAGTATAAGATGACTGAGCAGTTAGGCAAGTTCTTCACAACACAGAACTCCTGTACTATAATTTCAAATTTACTTAGCACAGAGTTTTAGCAATGGAAACATACCACTTCATCCTGCCCTCAGTTTAAAGACTCAACAAATTTCAATACAAAGGTTAATTCACATGTTAATAAAGTCAGCAATATTAACAATGGGTTTAGGCCTACCTTCAATTTTGCTCATTAATAGAGTCAAAATTCAAGTAAAACAGAAAGGTAGGCAATTTGAGAAAAATCCCTACCTTTGTAGAACAGAAACCTACATCAAGGACAGACATCTATGATTGAAGGTCAAGCTTTATTAACTCAGATTTCTTTGACATGCAAGTTCAATTAGGTTCTGCATCTTTCCCTTTCTAGTATTTTGGTATGAATATTCTTTTCATGGTAAATGAAGTGGTTTACTGTATTACTGTAACAGTGTGTGCAGTTAATGTCTTAGAATTAGTAATGGACAACATTTAAACTGCATTTTTCAACTACACACTGCTAAAACATTAAGTCCAATTTAGTTAATTTGAAACAAATCAATAGTATCTAATGCTCTATATCAGGAAAAGAATTCTAGAAATTCCAAAAAAAAGGTATACAATATGTTGGACAGATAAGAAAGGTGAGACCCTATCTCAGGCATTCTCTTTATGGGAAGAATGTATTTATTATCTATTCCGTATCTCCTCACATAGTTCACTAAATGATAACCTTTCTAACTACATAACACTCTTTGTACACTTCAAATATTTTATCCTGATGGAATAACTCAATGATACTATGAAGAATGTTCCCTTGAGTGCATTTCAATTTTTTTTATAAGCTTAGTCTCTAGTGTACCAGTAAGTTATTATGAATGACTCTCAGATATTTGTTCAATTATGTAACTGCTATATCAGCTTTATTTTAATTTTCAGAGTATTTATCTTTACAGTTTTGGTCCCAAAGCACTAATCAATACTGCAATCTCCTCTGTTAACTTAACAATTACCTCTACTCAATTGCTAGGATGCCTTTCTTTCTTTGGAGTTCTATTATCACAGAATGAGTTCCCCACATTCTGAAGGTGATTTCTCTGAGCTGTGAAAATTATCACATCGCAGCCAATTTTCGCCAAAATTTTAATTTTATGTAAAATTATTAAGAGGTACTGAATGCAAAGATTTTCCTATATCAATATGATGAAAACACAATAATTTTTCATTATCTGGAATCATTAAAGTAATGAAGCATCCACCTAAGTAGAAGGTCTATTTAACTAAAGTTTCTATCTTCAAGTGCCAAGATTTAGTTTAAGCCATTTCAAATAAATATGTCCAAAATGTTTATACAATTACCCAACTTCTTAAGCATCTTTGAACATAGAAACAATTCATAATGATTTAAGATCATCATATTAAATACTCATTATTTGACTGGATGATAACACATTTTGCCAACTCTTTAGCTTTTTTTGCTCCTGCCTCCACATAAGACTATATGATATATATATATATATATTTTAAAGATTTTATTTATTTATTTGACAGAGACATAGAGAGAGAACACAAGTAGAGAGGCGGGCAGAAGGAGAGAAAGAAGCAGGCTCTCCACTGAGCAGAGAGCCCAATTTGGGGCTTGATCCCAGGACTCTGGGATCATGACCCGAGCTGAAGGCAGGCACTTAACTGACTGAGCCACCCAACTGCCCCACTACATGATATTCTTTCAGTAGCTTTATAACTACATGAAAAAGCCCCTTTCAAGCACTACTTGTAATTTTTTATGGCTGAAAAACTACGTAACTAACTTAAAGAACTGTGTGTTAAATAACAGTGAGTCAGGATCTAAGTGCAGGCCTAATAAAAAAGTAAGCAATTCAATATAGTAACTTTGTGATAGCTATTGCTTATATACTGAGGTCTTCAGTAGGTGTTCAGTGGCCAAAGTCTGTGAAGTATGACCTTAGTCCTACATTAGTCCCAGAATCTAAAAATGTTTGACGTTCTTGGACCAAAATTGAGATGTCTTGGCTCTTCTTTTTTCTAACTGAGAAAGAAGTGCTGACTAATCTAGCACCTCAGTTTCCCAAAGCAAGAATCTTACACAAACAGCTTATACCAAGAAGCTCCAAGGTGATCCAGAATAATTCAATGGAAGAATTACTATGTATTTTTGTCATGACATATCATCACCTCTACTTTTACTGTTGGAGATCAGGTCAAAGGCTATGACCACCTTTGAAATATACTAGGATTGCATCAAAAGCATCTCTACTGTATTCAACAGGTGAAATGTACTTAAAAACCAAAAAGAAATACCCTAAAGGAACAGCTGTAGGAAATCACTTGCAGGGGATTCCATTCATCTATTTTTCATCCTATTCTTCCTGCAAGGTCTTTCCCACCTTGTCATCCAATCAACTGCATCCTTCCCCATCCAGCTCTAGCATCACCCCACTTGGTAGTCTTTCCTAATTCCCAGCAGAAGCAGTAACTTTCTCCTTTGTGCCACCAACCACTACATTTTGTACATATTTCTATCACAGCATAAATCACCCTGCTGTAATCTGCTTATTCTTTCTTCTCCTTTATTATACTTTGGACATCTAACAGCAAAATGTCCTTTCATTTTTTAAAACCCCACAACTAAGAATGCCTATACCACAATGAATGTTTTTTAGAATGAATGGAATTCAATTAGATATCATACCTAACACTCCCCTTTTACAATTCTGCTCATTAGGAGATGAGAAATAATCTCCATTATAAAAACAAGACCATGAAAATACTTGGTCACTTAAAAGTCAAAAAGGGGAGGGAGGCAAGAATAGAAACAAACAAAAACCAAGCAAAAGTTATTATCCATTACTATTTAGGCTTAACTTCTTTCCCAACTTGAAGAGGAGAAAGACAAGTGCACCACCGAGAGATAATAATTGACCTACAGAAGTCTAGGTGTCTAATTTCTGCTTCTTGGTCTATAAAAAGCTTCTTGGCAGAGCCCTAGAAAAACCCTACCCAATTAAGTTTTTAAGTTTCTTTAGCTGTAAAAAAGGAATGTAACCAGTCTTTCACCTTCAGATTACAAAATTCACAACTACAAAAGCCCAAACAACAGCTTCTGGCCACAAAGACACACAAGCAGGCAGTAACTGAGAGAATTTCATAAAATCAGTTCCAGCATGGTAATCAGTTCAGCTGGCACACTCAAGAACTCACCGACAGCACACCTCACATGGATCCACCCACAGAGTGAGTTCCTTTGGTAAGCCTAGATCACTGTACAAGATGCAGCTGTTCTCACAGGCTTTCAGGACATCAGGATCAACTCTCTGAAACTTATTGACACGAATGCATCTGCAACGAAGTAGAGTAATTTTAACAGCTTTAACTGAATCTTAATCATAAACCATGTTATATTATTAATATTGCCAATGTGAATTTAAGACAAATAAACCCTGATGGAGAACCCAGGGGCATATCTATCCTAAATAGATAATAAATGTGAACTGAAGGCAAAGAGGCAGCATCATCAGTAAGACTACTCAGCCTGGTGAAAGAGAGGGCATTCATCTGAGCCCAGGGAAATCATAAGAACTGGCTTTGCATCATTTTAGCCAGAAACTACTCAATCTCACATGTATATTAACAGACCAATGAGCATTAAAGCTGCATGAAATTACCCAGAGCTCTAAAGGTAGAAGTATTAATAGGCCAAGTTACTATAACAAAACCTAACTAACAAAAGACCTTAAACAATGTTTGAAATATTTTGAAATTCTTGTGATGTTTTGGCCATTTCCTTACTTATAAATCCCAGATAGTGTTAAGAAAGGTGTCCTTATTGGGGCGCCTGGGTGGCTCAGTGGGTTAAGCCTCTGCCTTCGGCTCAGGTCATGATCTCAGGGTTCTGGGATTGAGTCCCGCATTGGGCTCTTTGCTCACGGGGAGCCTGCTTCCCCCCTTCTCTGCCTACTTGTGATCTCTCTCTGTCAAATAAATAAGTAAAATCTAAAAAAAAAAAAAAAAAAAAAGGTGTCCTTAGCCTCACTTATAATTGTTCTATAAATATAGAATCAGTCCAAGACACAGAACCATTCTTATCACATAGTTATGATTAAAATAAATCCAAAGTGTTACTGGCTTATTTGTTACCAAAGAGTTTTTTTTAATTAAAAAAAAAAGTCATTAAAATAGTTGGGAAAAAATAAAATACCTAAACCAATAGAACCTCTGTTCCATTTTTTAAACCTAAGAAATACCAAATCTACCTAATGGAATCTACCTAATCCCAGAATGAATGCAAAAGTATATGTTAAAGTAAGCATTTTGCCTATGTACAAAAATGGTGGCTACAATAGAAGTATTTACTGCTTCTACAATTACGAAACCAATCAAAAGTACCCAGGTTTTAGTACTAATCCTACTTCTCATTTATTGGGTGAATTTAGATTAAGTGGTTTCACCCTCTCCTCAGATGCAAAGCTCTCAAATATGGACAACACAAGTTTATTGACAAATAGTAATTATAACATTAAATACAATGACATCAATAGAACATGCTGTTTAAAATTTTTTTTAAATTTTATTATTGATTTCAATTCTCATTTAGAACAGTGAAAAAGTTCTCAGTAAGTAACAGCTAATACATATTTCTAAATAGTAATAATAACTCTTTCTGAAGGTTTACTACACAATGGACAGTTTCTTAAACTTTTTTTTTTTAAGATTTTATTTATTTTTTTGACAGAGATCACAAGTAGGCAGAAGAGAGAGGAAGGGAAGCAGGTTCCCCGCTGAGCAGAGAGCCCGATGTGGGACTCGATCCCAGGACTCTGGGATCATGACCCGAGCAGAAGGCAGAGGCTTTAACCCACTGAGCCACCCAGGTGCCCCACAATGGACAGTTTCTTAAGTGCTTTACATGTATTAACTTTTTATTTTAACAATTATCCTATAATTTACATATCATTTCCCCATTGTAAGAAAGTAAGGAAGCAGAGTTGCCTAACTTCACAACTATAAAGTGGTGACTATCTGGACCACTGGAATCCAAAGTCTATTTCATTAAATATCCTATTTTGTCTGTGCTAATCTTATCATGACCACTAACAAGTAAGCAATTCAGAGTAAAAAAATTATTTTACAGCATGTAAGATGCCATTTGTCCCATTCTTTGAGATGGTCTATGTTTACAAATTCTAGTGTTGTGTAAGTTGATTCAAAAGTCCCATATGCCCCAGGATCAAAAGCAGTTAAAGGTAAGGAGATAGATTTTTAGAAGTACATGTTTTTGTTATCTAAAATAAGGGTGATGTAGTCTCAAAGCTTAAAAAATATGTATGTAGGGGCGCCTGGGTGGCTCAGTGGGTTAAGCCTCTACCTTCAGCTCAGGTCATGATCTCAGGGTCCTGGGATCGAGCCCCACATCAGGCTCTCTGCACAGCAGGGAGCCTGCTTCCCCCTCTCTCTCTGCCTGCTTCTCTGCCTACTTGTGATCTCTCTCTCTCTCTCTGTTAAAAAAAAAAAGAAAAAAAAATATGTATGTAAATAAAGATGCTTAGAGACTCTGCTTCATTTGCTTATCTTATACATTTTTGTGCTGTTTTTTTAACTCTATATACTGTGACTACTTATCCATTAAGCAGTCTTCAAAAACAGGATTTTAAAAGCTGCATAAAAATAGTCTATCATTTACTTAATGTTGACAGTTCTTTCCAATTTTTTTGCAATTATAAAGTGTAAGAAACATCCATATTCATAGATATTTATCTGCATTTCTGATTATACTTCTAGAATAGATATTTAGAAACTTAATGCTCAAAGAGTAGGAATATTTTTACACATCTTGATAATATTGCCAAATTGCCCTTATTTGTAGATATTGTGAAGAAACAATTTTAACTTATAAACACTTTAGAAGAAAAAGAACACTTCCAACTTACTCCATGGATTCAAGAGTCTCACTCTGGCTAATCCTATATTCTATTCACTTTTATAACAGTAACAACCCACCATTAAGTCTAATAGCTTTCTACTTCAAAGACAGCTTCAAAATGACTCAATAATGATATTTCTGATCATATGCCAATTTAATCCTGTTTAGCTAATTTTTTTCCTCAAGTTTTTAGAATTAATGGAAACGAAACTGTACACTGTCTGACCTTTAAGCATTTACTTGACAGTGTCTTCTTTTCTCAGTAATAGTAAAAAGTTGGTTTGGCACTTCCAGAAGCCTTTGTCCAATGTCAATTACATCAGTGTGAAAAGCCTCAATAGCTCTAACTCACCAAAGCTGTTCACTCTATCAAAAATAAAAATGTGCAGGAAAAAAATTAAGAGAATCAACTAAAGAGATAAAAAAATAACTTGATTCTGCTTTATATGGAACATCCACATTTCTACTTTAATTCATCACATTTTCCAATCTACTAGGAAACATCCTTGGATAAAAATGAAGAGAAAAATACATCAATAACTTTAACTTTTGTTTTCAATAGAAAACATGCTCACCTGTGGCTTTTAGCATATGAGAACTAAACACATATTTTCACTTCCTTTGTAGACTCCCTGAATAATCTTGCACTTGTAAGAGCTAAGTGACCGAAAGGAAGTCCTTTTTACATCAAAGCACAGAAATGCTGATTGAGAAGAAAACTTGGGGGCAACAATATGCATAAATAAAAGAATTTCTTTAGTCACAACTGTTTTACATTCATTTTTTTGGGTGGCCACCTCCACAAATGGGGCAAGGTTTGACAGCTGAGTTATTTAGCAGAACCCAGGCTCTCAACACAGTGATCACATAAATACTAGGGAATGAGCATGCCAGAACATGTTTTGCAGGAGCCTGTTCTTCTTTACTCTAAGCTATAAATGTAACTTATAAACCATAGTACAAAAAGACAGCTGCTAGTGAGAGTTACTTACCCTCTCAGAGACAGGGCAGTGGTCAAACTGTGGTGTGCAGAAGCCCATAAGAATTCAGGGTCAGTTAGTTAGACCTGAGCTCAAATCGCAGAGCTAATATTTACCACTTGTAGGTTGTAATAAGTTACCTTCATCAAGAAAAGAGTTACGGTGGCTTCTACCATAAAGAATTACGTATAGTATAAATGAAATTATTTCTGTGTCAACAATGCATTAGGTTTCTAATATTCTTAGTTCTTGTTTGCCATAAAATTTACTTTTTCCAAAAACATATAACATGTAATCTATTTATAAAAACAGAGACTCATTTCTTTCAACTCTTGCCATGCCCATTCATGGGTAAGTTTTAGGGGTCCTCTAGAACTGTGAAAACCCTCAAGTACCTGTGATACATAAAGAAATGCATTCAGTCAGAAGCCAAACTACAACCACAAGACAAACTCCCACGGGCTGACAATATTGTGATCCCAAGTCTAGGTAGTGGGGCTCCATCAACAAATGTTTCTATTTTAAAATGCGTAAGGAAAGAAAATACCAAAGACACCCCAGAATTCTGTATGTTGTAGTGAAACTGTGAAAGAAATGGACTGGACACCCTTTAGTCCTCTGGCCTTGCACTCATTTTCAGGAGCTATCAGCCTATTAGTCCAATCTAACTGTCCAATCTAATCCTTTACCTGTAGGCCTGTCCTTTTGATGGTTTTTCTGGATACCAGTGATTTTTATATTTTTCTTGAAGTATAAGAGTCAATTTCTCAGCAAACCTCTCAACTGCCTCTTTTTTCAACTTGTCATGTTTTCGAACTAGCCTTGTGAAAAAGAAGACAACAGCAGCAATTTCGTTCTTCATCTTTCCCTGCAAAGAAAAACAGTTTTTCTTAAAAAACCAAAACACAAAAACTGGAAGATAAAGCTCTGCAAAATATCCCTCCTTCATAGCTCCCTTCTTTCAATTTTATCTTGTGTCTCAATGGCTCATATCTGGAAAAAGGAACAAATAATCACTAATTTAGGCCATAAAGACCTTATTATAATACTGTCTAAGAACCTTATCACTTAGCTTTGTGAAGAAGTTCAGTAAAGAGGGCACACCAAAATGCTCCTGGTTGGCTAAAATAAAATCAGAGCTATCACTCAAAGAGAAGCACTACAATGATACCATTATATACTTTTTCTAAATATGTCAATGTTTAGCTACAATAATTTAAGTTTAAAATTTTGTGAAATAATTTGAATTTTAAAACACAATATTGTATAGCTATTATAGAAAACAGTGGTAATTCCTAAAAAAAGTTTGAGTTACTAAAAGACCAATCAATTCTACACTCATAGCCACATACCCAAAAGAAATGAAAACATTTTTCTACACAAAAACATGTACACAAGTGTCCACAGCATTATTCATAACAGCCAAAAAGTAGAAGAAATTCAATATACAACTGATGGACACTGACATTTGTCAACTGACGAACAGATAAATGTGGTATATACATGCAATGGAATATTCTTCAGCAACAAAGAGGAATGATGTACTGATAGGTGCGACAACAGAGGTGAATCTTAAATGCACCATGTTAAGGGAAAGAAACCAGTTACAAAAGACCAAATATTGTATGATTCCATTTATATGAGTTTTCCAGAACAGGCAAAAACCGGAAGTAGGTTAGGGCCTAGGGGCAGGAAAGGAGAGACATCAATGAACACAGGGCTTCTTTTTAGGGTGAGGAAAATACCCTAAAATTAACTGTGGTGATGGCTACGCAACTTTGTGAATATACTAAAACTAATGAACTGTAGATTTTAAATGTGTAAATTGTATGCTATGTGAATCCTATTTGAATAATAAAGCTGTTACACATAAAGAAAAAAAAATGCAGCACTGAGTTTCTTCTATAAACATTCTTTCAAGAACAGAGATATATTTACCTAGAAGATATGCCCCAAGACAGTGCCTCTATCAAAACATTTAAGAGTAGAAATTCAGGGTCATCCACAGAAAAATCAAACCAAAAGAAATAATCAGAGATATAGCTGCATTGTGGAACTGCCTCAAGACTCTTTAAATGGCAGATCTGACTTACCATTAATTAATCCATAAAGGCAAAAACCTTATCCTGGGATTGTTTCGATGTATATTCTGTCTTTATGTGATGAGCTCATTCATTTGGCTGCTTTAAGTAACTTGGGAATTGTTCAGATGCTACATTTACTAAGCAATATCATCCTTTCCAGAGCCAATTATCAAAGACATACAGCTTCTGCTATGTTTAGTATAAAAACCAACTAATCTAGCTGATAGTTGTTTTCTCACACATTTGTTTTTTCAAACCTCTTAAAGTCTCTTCTAATGATTCCTTAACTCCTTGTGCAAATTCAAACAAGGGATCTCACTGTGAAATAAATTCTACAGTCATCTGAGAGGTGTGCTGGCAGCCATACCCACTCTGATCTGCGATGGGAAGACACCCAAACCTCCCTCCTGGAACCCTAGAATGCCAAATCCACCTTCTCTGGCCAGCTACCAGACAAGAGGAACTGGGTTGCATATAAGAGTTGCAGAGGTACATACAACCCCAGTCTTCCACAATTGCTATGAGGCATCCTCCTAAGAGAAATGTTGAGCCATTTCCACTTTATAAAGCCATATTTATATCCTACCCCGTTATAATGGAAAAGAAAGCCCACTGCAATTTAATAAACGGTATGGGATGGAAAGTTGCTTGCTGATGGAACAACATTAGCTTCCATCTCCCCAAAGAAAACAAGGAACAACACTAAAGAAGAGTACTGAATCCTTAACTGCATCATTCTCATTCATTTAATTTGTCTACGGTGCTCTACATATCTGAGTTTAGGGTTTTGTTTTCCTTTTTGTTTTGATCTGTTTCATATCAAAAAATAAAAGAAAGGGAGGAAAGAACCACTTAGTGGTTTCTATTGCTTGTAACACAAGATGAGTCATATGGAATTACTTTTTTTTTCGGTTTGAAGGAATGATGCCTGGAATAGCAGAAAAATTAACCCACTCCCACCAGTTAGAATTCTGAGAGTGTGGAAAGGTAAAAGAGGGAGTTATAAAGTCTGAGAGGGAGAAACTAGAAGCGAGCTGGGCCAATAAGACCTCGGGCGTCTTGAGTAAGTAGCCACAATTCCTCCACCCACACTCGGAGCGAAAAGCTCCCATTTTAAATATCGCACGGTGACGTCATCCTGGGACGTAGTCACCGCGGCGGCGGCTCCTCAAGTTCTACTTTGTTCCACAGGCTCCTCTGCTCACAGCGGCGTGCGTAAAACCCAAAGGAAAACCAAGCCCAACCTTCCAGGAGTTTATAACTTTGTACTTTTCCCTGTGTTGTAACGAAGGGCTAATCGCAACCGTTTCTAGACACAAATATTTCTGATAGACGTTCCCAAGGTTGAGGAAGCGGGGATCCTGGCCGTGAGGCTGAGGAGCCCCGGACCAGCCTCACGGGCGTTACAAAGCGGGCTCTCCGGACGCTGAGGAGACGGGATTTCCCACGGGGCCGAGACTTGGACTTTGTAAACCATCAAAACCTGCTGCTAAGCACTCACGCTTGGGTTCTGAGAGTGCTAGGTGAGTAGGCATCAAACATCTCCACCCACTCTGGAAAGAACGGCCTGCAAGCGCGTCCAACTTCTGCAATCGCGGTTTTCCCCGAGTTAAGGGGGAAGGGCCGTGGAGCCCCATTTCCCTCCTCCCCCCAAACAGCCTCCCTCGCAGGGTGCGCCTTCCCGTTCGCCCGCCCGTCCGCTGCCACCGGGCCGATTCCAGTCTCCGGGTGGTCCCGGGTTCCAAGACGGGGGTCCCCTCGGGCGTGACACTCCCCCCCCCACCCCGGACAGCAAGCCGGGTCCCCGGCTCCAGAAAACACACCGACGCGGAAGGCGGGTGGGTAGGCGCAAGGCTGTCGCCCACCGCGAGCGGAGGGTAACGCGCGGTGTAAACGTGGCAGGAGCCTTGTGGCGGCCTCTCCTCCGTCCCCAACCCACCGAAGTCCCGCGGAAACCCTCTCAGGTCACCTCTCTCGGTCCATAATCCTTCCTTCTTCCCGGGCCGGGGCCGATGCAACCCGGTTGGATCCCACACTCCTCCCCCTTCCCCGGCGCGCCGCCTGCCGCGAGCTTTCGACGTGGCCTCAGGGGCGCCGGGACCACCCTCCTCCCGGTGCCCTCAGTTCCACCATGTCCGCCTCCCCCCGGCCCGGTCTCCTCACCGCCGCCGCCGACGCCCTGGGGTCGCAGATTTGGCGGTCCCGACCGTCTCCGGGCCGGGAACCGAGGGCGCCGCCTCAGCGGGCCGGCGCTCGGCGACAGCGAGCGCAGCGAGCCTAGTTCGGAGCGTGTGGCTCCCGCGTCGTCGGGCGAGGGAGCGCGCGCTGAGAGGGCGGGCAGGCAGGGGAACGCGCGCGCGCGCGCGCGCGCGCGAGCGAGCACAGCCCTGAGGAGACGCGCGGGGGGCTCGCGGCCCGGAAGAGAGGAGGGGCGATGACCCGGGAAAGGGTTGGCGCCGCGCGGGACAGGCTAGCGCGCCTTTGGGGGTGGGAGGGGAGGAGCCGGAGGGGCGGGACCTCGCCGAGAGCCCGCCCCTGAGACCGGGGCTGAACGGCGCGTAGACCCTTCCAGTCCGACGGCTAGGCCCACAGAACCTCGGCCTACACTCCTCGGTGGAGATCCACGTGGGAGGCCGAGCTGACCCCCGCCAGCCTCCCGCACTACCTGGTGCATCGCCATCGGGGGTCGTTCTTGGGCCTCCTCTTACCCTCTGGTCTCTCCTTGCCAACCTGTCCCCTGACAACCTCTGGCCACGAGTTCTAGGCCTAGTTCTGCTCGGGCTCTTGAGAGATGGGGTGGCGACCCGTATCAGATGGAAGGGAGACTTTGCATTTATGGACTGAGCCTCGTGTGGTAATTTGAGGCACGTCCACTGTGTAGCTGCTCTGTGATATTTCAGGTTGTTTTTTAGAACTCCTAGTTGGGCTGTTCCCTGGCCAGGCCAGAAGTTCCCTCAGAACAGGGGCTGCTTCCTGTTAACCGGTGTTCCAGCCTGGCACTGAGTACAGTGTCTTGTACAAAGGAGAGGCTCCAGGGATGTTGGCCGAATGAGTGAAACTTTGAGAGTCCAAGCTTTCCGTTACTGAGATGTTCCTACTCCAGAGCTTCCGCCATACAAAGCTTCATCTTTGAGCAAATACAGATGTGGAAAGGTACATTTCTAACATTCTGAAAAAAAGGAGCATCTTTCCAACCTTTTAAATTGGCACCATGTTAAGGTTTTGCGAAAGCACTTCAATACCTCAGACCAGGAAAATACAAGACATTTCTTTTAAAAATTATTTGTGAAAAGATAGCCAATTTTCACTCTTTCCAGCTAAAACATGTAAATTTCTCAAGCACTGATTGTTCAAGCTGTAGATTGACCAGATTCTTCACTACCCTCTAGGCCTAGGAGCATGTTTTCAACCCTGTTCTCTGCATATTTTAATTTTTTTTTAATTACGGTATTATTTTTATTACTGATATTGGTGATTATAACTTATTTACAATTCAAAGTGATTTTTTTAAGCATTAATAAACAGGCAATTCCAAAAGCAATACAATAAGTTTTATTTGTTAAAAAAATTATATTGTCACCTATGGCTACTTATTGGTTGATTTAAAGAGAATATTGTTATTTACACCCTGGACTGTTCTAGGAGATATGAGGGTATTTTCATCGTTCTAAACATCTAACAATCTGATTGAGATTATTTTACTGATAAAGGCTTTTATCTCCACAATTTCATAAAATAGCTAGGTAGCCACAAACATTACTAAGAATTTGTCCAGAAATTTCTATAGCTTGAGATTAATATTTTGCGTGATATTTATAAATCTGTGATCCACTTGGTCCAGTCTTAGAGCAGGGCCATATTCAAATACACAGGTAAATACCTGAAACCTAATTTTGAAATAACTCTTAAAAAATTTTCATAGCCCACACACCGTGAAGCAGATAAATAACAATTATCTTAAACATCTCTTTTTGCTCTCTTCCACTGTTCTCATATAAGATAGCTATTTGAATGCATTTGTCTTTCAAAACATGCCTTAACTCTTCTCCAGCCCTGGATGTGTACTTCAGATCTTTCCCCCACCTATCTTTCTTCCTAATTCTTATGACAAAAGCCCAGAAGAATTGGTCTACAAGGCAGGACCCTTTTTAGGATGCTGAAAGAGAGAAGCAGAGCTGATACAATTACCCATTAATATGTATTTTTTTCCTTTCACAGTTGATTCCTTTCCATAGTTAACTCCAATGTTCAATAATACTGTGTGTTAATGGGTATGGTAGTTTTACAATAAGTTTTAAGGCAAGAGCGCGCGCGCGCGCGCGCGCGCGCGCGCGTGTGTGTGTGTGTGTGTGTGTGTGTGTGTGTGTGTGTGTGTTTTGAAAATGAGCCTCCATAATAGGTCAGGGGGTCTATAATCACACATATCTTGTGGTGGTATCCCAGAGTCATAGAGAACACGACTCACTCAGTCACCAAAATCTATGATTTGCTTTCATAATCAGGACTTATTTTCCACTTAAATAACTGTGTAACTTTTTAAAATCTATTATTCCTTTGAGCTCAGAGAAGTTCAGCATTGTAAAAGAACAGTTTCAAATACCATCGTCTCAATCCACACGTCAAGTTTAAATTGAAATACCAAATCCTTGCTTTTATAGTGGACAGAGAGAGTTCCATTAGGTAACGTTGAGGAAAAGTGTGCAGCCTCTGAGGGCCATTGGAGGTCTACCAAGTGGGATCTAAGACTTTTTAATTCTAAAAACACTTTAATAAATTTCTTCAGAAATTTCTATGACCTAACCATTTGGCTAAATTAAAAGAAACTAAATCTACATTTTTTGCTTCAACTTCTTAAATGTCCATAAACTGGCAGTGGTTAAGAAAACATAAGCATAAAGAAAATTTGTAACCTTCATTATTTTCTCCATTACATCATGCAATAAAACTGACTTCCAAGAGTCACAACACAAACTCTCTTGATAAATGAGGCAATGGAGACTGGGTACACTAACCCCCTATTTTAAGTTGCATTAATTGTTGAAACCCTCCTTCCCTGCCCCAGCCATGCCCCAAACGTGGCACATCTTTTTTAGAAGAAAATGTTTCTATCAAACTACTCAGACTCTTTATTGGTAATTGCTTAAGATTTGTTGATTTGTATAAACCAGTTTAAGAAAATGTTCCTAGCTTAGGGAATAGGGTATAATATTTAGATAGGCGGCACAATCTGGGCTCAAATAGAGCTTCATATTTGAAACCTCTGGTGTAAAATTTACCTGCTTGGCAGGACATGTGCTATTGTCGTTGAGTTCCTTTCACAACTCTTCTGTTCTTTGTACTAACAGAGAAACTGACTTCTATTAGTAAATAGTATATAAACGCCGACCCTTATTCCATGTAACAAAATTAAGAATATGGTATACGCAATTAGCAAAAAGTTCAGAAGTATTATAAAAGAAAGAACTACTTTGAAATGCAATGTTAGTCAGGGTTCTCCAGAGAAACAGAAACAATAAGATGCGTTATGGAGAGAGAGATTTATTTTAAGGAATCGGTTCATGCTATAGTGGGTGCTGGTAAATCTGAAATCTGTAGAGCAGCCAGTTGGCAGGCTGAAAATTCAGGCAAGAGTTGAAGTTGCAGTCTTGAGTCCAAAATCTATTGGTAGGTTTTCTGTTATGATCTTGAGGAAGTAGTATTTATTCTACGCCCAGAAACCTCAACTTTTGTTTATAAGGCCTTCAACTGATTAAGGCCCACCCACCTTATATGGAGTAATCTCCTTTACTTAAAGTCCGCAGATTTAAATATTTTTTTTAAAGATTTTATTTATTTATTTGACAGACAGAGATCACAAGTAGGCAGAGAGGCAGGCAGAGAGAGAGGGGGAAGCAGGCTCCCTGCTGCACAGAGAGCCCGATGCACGGGACCATGACCTGAGCTGAAGGCAGAGGCTTTAACCCACTGAGCCACCCAGGCGCCCCCACAGATTGTAAATATCAATCACATCTACAAAATACCTTTCCAGCAACATCTAGTCTACTGTTTGACCCAACAATTGGGCACCATGGTCTAGCCAAGTCAAGACCCAAGAATAACCATCACAGTGACCTCCATTCAATAGTATTTCCTCAAAGGCACGATGATAATTAAGTTTTAAAAAGTTCCCTTAGTGAACAACATAAAGCATGTTTTCATTAAGAAAACAAATCCCCGTGTTTTTTGTTTTCTTTGTTCTATTCAGTCAGTTGCTTTGTGGTGGAGATGGGGAGGAATGGGGGAGGGAGGATCAGATGTGTTCACATGCCCTCTTCTGTATAACCTTGTCAAATATTTGTGCTAGAGCATTGAGAACACTGTGTTTGTCCGTTAGAGAGAACCAAAATAGGGCAAATAAGTTACTCACAATCTAGTAGAAGTTAGAGATATGTAAACAATCTACCTTACATATTACATATTCCAAGTTGTGTTATAAATTCAGTGTCTCCAAAAGGTAAAAAGGCAATAGTATTGAAGGCATATAAAAGGGTTTGGATGTGATTGGGCTCCCAGCTGAAAGGAAGTTTCAAGACATATAAGGGCAGCATTGCAAACTTTCCTTACAATTTTTCAGTATGGACAGGTAGAGGGGGAAAGGGCATAGCATAAGGAAATTGTTTCTAAGGTTGGGTCACTCCTCAGTTGCACCACAGAGATGGCTAGAATTAATCAAATTCACACAGCAAGTCCTGACATTTGATGGCCTAATTAGAGTGATTATGGGTACGCTTTAAAAATATGCTTTGTCAGCAGATGATCTAATGAGATGTTTCCATAAAGAACATGTTCCCACTCCACACCTGGACCAGGAGCAGCTCAAAACATGGCACTAAAGTTAGTACATTAATAATTGTTTGTGATGTGGTTGGCAAAAACACTTTGTAATTGTGCGCACAGGAGTGCTTTAGGGAGATAATTGTAGCAGGTCAGTTTTTTCTCTAACTGGTAGGAACGTTTCAGGAACTTTTTTTGTGATTAAAAAAAAAAACTTTGTATGTATGAATACATATATATAAATGTTTATAATATCACATATAAATAAAAGCTTTATCTTTCTTTGAGAGGGAGTGAGAGAATGAGAGAGATTCATGACAGAGATTTGTTACACACACACATATATATAAAATATATATAGGTAACATGTACTATATATTATGTGTGTGTGTGTGTTTTTATACTAGTCTAAAGTGCTCACAAATACTTTTTTTTTTTCCTCAGAAGGAAAGTTGGTGAGAACAATAAACTAGCTGTGACTTCTGTATATATCA